TTGGTTCTCTGAGATTAACGTTAGAGCAGGGATTCTCAATCCCTGGTTGGCTGCCGGAACAGAAGTGGCTGCAGACCAGCAAACTGTGGTGCCCCAGAGCCAGGCAGAGAGGCCATGGCTCTTTCTGCAGGGCCCGTGCCAGCGCAGGGTTTGGCCCACAGGGGCGCGGGTATCCTTACCTGTCTTCCGGCTGGAAATTCTGGCCGTGGTCAGCTGTGATTGCTGGGTTGCGGTTTGCCAGGCGGTGGCAGAAAAGCTTTGGGAACCACTGCTTTAGGGTGTAGACAAAGCATGAGTAGTAGGTCTGTACTTAAAATCTCTTATCCTTTAGATATTTGAATTCATAGTTTACCTAAGACTGATAATAAAAGCAAATCTTTACCACCTGAAATTCACATCCACCCTAGTTTCCCCTTCCTTGCTCAGAAAATAAAAGTTCTTGGCTGTAAATTAATATGGAAATAAATAAGACCAACCTAAAACTATAAGAAAAAACTTTCAGTGATGCTTTCCTCACCTGTGTGACTTTTTGAAAGACGCAAGAAAAGTAATTTTGGGCCTTTGCTACTCTCTAGTGTGATGTTTGAGTACTTTTCACTCGGTGGGCCTATTGCTTGCTGTCATTCTCATGGCATAAATGTATGCAGCTTGCTGAGAATTAACTGCATTTCATAGCTACATACACTATAAAAACTATTGCCATGTTCATATAAATATCATGGACATCAGTTTTAAATCACACCATGTGGAACTCCACATAGAAGCTTTATGTCCTTTTGTTGTAAAGTTTCTGGCATTTCAGCTAAAGGACAATTCTTGTTGGGCTGCCACTACTTCTAAGGCTTATTATCTCTGTGGCACAGCCTCTAGGGGACCATACAGTCACAAATGTCTGAACAGGTTTATTCTAACCAATAAAAAGCAATGCAGCACATACCAAATGCACAGGTCATTAATATGTTATCTTTGGTTAGGAACTGAGAGGATGGTAACATAGAAGAGTGGATGCCTGAAGGAAAATAAATGCCTATAGAAGGTTTTTTAAGCCTAAGTCTGGTGTACTTGTGCTTTTCCCCAAACGAAAATTGATGAGAAGGAAAAGAGATTTGTTTTAATGTCCAAATAGGTGCACAGCACTGAATCCTGGATGTGACTTTCCTCTGTACGGAGATACTGCATTTTAAACTATTGCTCTTGTGATTCTGCCCTTCAGGATGGCAATACAGCTCTTCATGAAGCATCTTGGCATGGATTCAGTCAGTCTGCCAAACTGCTTGTTAAAGCAGGAGCTAATGTTCTTGCCAGAAACAAGGTGAGACACATGCTGAATGTGCTTTCAGTTCTGATATGAAATGTCTGTTCCTCATCACTGTTGATTTTTGATAGTGACACATCTCAACAGGCAGTAGTCCAGTTCCTAGTGAGATTTCTCATTTCATTTGAATTAATTATGCCTGAATGATTCTACCACAGACAATAGAAAATTTATATTTTGACAGCTGACACAGGAGAAGCTCAGTAATACTTTGAATGATACATTAATTATGACTGAAGAATAATGGGATTCCTATGGAAACCTCAACGGAGCCCTAATTTATATTGAATGGATTCATTGTGCTTGTGATTAAATTGAATATTAGTTGAACTAATGGGAAAATAGCATTAAGAATCTAACTTAGCAGAAATTAGGCAGCTGAATCTATATGCAAACCACGTAGAAAAGAAAACGGTATCTGTAAATGTCTCTCTTCTCATATTGTATCTGGTGAACTGTTTAGAAAGGAGAATTAACAAAGCAAGGGGTCTTATCTCCCATCAGAACTGCAGACAGGATATTTTACAGCACAACAAGAAGTTAGGAAGTAAGGGCTGTAAAACTATTATAAATCAGTGCAATGAAACCATGAAATAAAGTTTTTTTATTAAGATTAAAATAAACTACTTTATTAAGATCAAAATAAAGTACCTACTGGAGGCTAGTCTTCAAATCGCCTAATCAAAAAGGTTAATGAAATAATTTCAAACGCAGCAAAGGGCAACAAACAGTATGTGGTAAAATAGGGTTTGGAATTTTTCAGCTGAGCATTCATAGTGTATGGATATCACTATCTCCTTTGTTACAGGCAATAGGAATTATGGGGCATAAGGCGTTTGATTTTATCTTTGAACATACTTAAAGAAAAACTGCATAACATTTCATTAAAGAAAACTATAAAAATATTACACAAGCAGACAGTTTAGAAGAGCTGCAATCTGTAAAGCTAAATCGTACTATGAAAACAAAGGAAAAGAGGAAAGAAATTAGAAGAAAGGAAACGCCTACTAATGTAAGACAGGCATAGCCCCATATTCAGTCACAGTTATTTGTGGTTACTTTTATAATTGCAACTCTCTGATGATGCTGTTTCAATCGACTGTTGCACCCTTTCTGTTATATTAGGTCCCCAGTTTAATTTTCAGTTTCTAAAGTTTAATTATTTTGCCATCATAATATTTATGCTTAGTCATATTAGACATTTCTTTAGATAACTCCCATAATGATGCATATTATTAGAGAATAGCAGCGTCTCACTTTCTCATTCCATGAACCTTTATACAATACGTGTATAATTTTTATGGTTCTGTTTAAAATATGACTTGCTGTCCTATGTGCTTGGGTACTACAGAGCAATAGAAGATGTTAACATCAAAGGAGCTATAAATACTGGATAAACTGCCAATCATTTTGAGACAGCCCTTTATCAAAGTGTGTGAATACAACAGAGTGACAAAACTAAGTTGTTATGGCAGTCCAGATTTCCTCATATTGGCCGGTACCTGCTTCTGCTGTGTCCTGAAGGAGATAACACTATGGCAGAGTGGGAATATAGTTCATAACTTTGACTTTTTGCTGAGGAAAACAACTGGCAGATTGTTTTAATGATGTGGAGATTTGTCCAACAGGAGCTGCTAAGAGACTGCAAATTCATTTTTCATAGGCAAATTTTCTCCAAGTATAAAAGTCTAGCATGAATGAAGACACACAGATTGAAATGTGACACCTTTTTTTAGGATTTATGTCAATTTTCTAAAGATGGCTTTCTTATCTTTCTGTATCTTTCCGAAGGCAGGTAACACACCTCTGCACTTGGCTTGCCAGAATAGTCATTCTCAAAGCACTCGTGTTCTGTTACTTGGAGGATCTCGGGCGGATCTCAAGAATAATGTGAGTTTCAAACTAATGGGGGGGTATTTATTATTATTTTGCTCCAGCTTCTGGAACTAAAACTTGAAAAATACTATGGTATGAGTTTTTTATTAGGAGGATGGAGGAAAATTGCAACTGTAGACTGGCTAAACGTACTTCTAAAATGTCTGGTGAAAAAAATTATCAAAATTTGAGTTTCTTAGGTGGGAGGAAGAAACAGTAAAAGACCTTGGTCTGTGTAACAGTTAACAGCACAAGCTATCCTTGATCATACATTTACAACCTACGTGGCCCTACCCAAGTGCTGAACTGGAAGCCTGTAAATGAAGGCTCCTCTGTAACTGCATGATGGAAATCCTGAGGTGGGGTCAGGCACCTATGCGGACCAACAAAATTCCTTAGAGATATTCCATCATCAGGGCACATTACCTCAAATTGTGTAGGTCAGCCAAACTGGAGAGCTGCAGATGGTTTTGAATTTTCAAATTGCTTCCTTTGCTTTTGTGGTTCTTAAAATAGGAACAGAAAATAAGCATTGAAGCCAGATATTTGAAAGTGTAAATATTAGCAAAGCCTGCAGAAAAGCAGAGTTTTCTAAAAGCCTTAGGCCTTTTTATCTGTATTCACTGTACAACTTCCAGTGCACGGGCCAAATTATTGTTCTGTCTCTCCTTTCTCTCCCTCCCCTCTTCTTATTGGTGATATTTTAGGCTAGGTACAGCCATTTGGGAGGTTAGATTGCATTAAAATGGCCACCCAATCTAACTTAGTTTACCCAGGTGCAGACCTTACACTTAGATCCCTAGTTAAGTCCATCTAAGTGTGAACTGTACAGAAGTTCAGGAAGGTTAGATTGGTCTAAAAATGGCTAACCTGATCTAAATTAATCTTACCTTGGAGATAGTTTAACTTAGATTGGGTATGGCGATACCAGTTTAACTGAATTTCTGTACAGTTCCCAGCACAACCCGGGGGCTGGGCAAGCCCAGCTGCTGGCCCCAGCCCTGGGGTTGTGCTTTCCCTACCCCCATGGCACCAGGCTATTATTAGCCCCCTAGCCCCTCACCCTACTCCCAGATGGAGAGTACTCTCCCACAGACCAGCCACCCTCACTCCCCCCGCAGCCCACCAAAGCCCCCGTCCCCATTCCTCCCAGACCCAACAATGCTCCTGCACTGCCACAGAACCCACTTGCCCCCCCACATTCTGCCAACCCTCCCAGACCCCAGCTGTCCCCCCGATCATGTGTACTAGCCCCGCCCCCCTCACCCTCCATCCTGACTCGCCTTAGATTGGGTGGCCATTTTTAACTAGATCTAACCTCTCCTGCTCTTCCTGAATGGTCTGTACATACTGTTAGGGTTATAGCGGTACTGCTATATACTGCTTTGTTCTGCCGTGTATACTGGATATGTTGTTGTGCTGTATAGTTCTGGTTTTAGTAGAAGTGTCATGGTTTTTCAAAACAGACCAACCTAACATAATAATTTTAATAGGGTGTTTTATCTAGGAAACTGGTATTGAAATAGAAAGGGGTATGTCATAGAATTGTAGGGTTGGAAGACACCTTAGAGGTTATGTGCTCCCTGATATATATAAAATTCCTGGAACAGACTGCCTTTTGACCTGTTCCATCATTTGTGCCCTTCATCTTCCTCAGCTAACTATCTTTTAAGCACTATGTGAAGCAAAATGGTTCTTCCTGTTGTTGTTTGTTTCAGTAGACAACACTTGCTTGAGATGTGTTGAAGGATCAAGACAGTTATAACCTTTTCCAAATTTAGAGTCCTGGCTATACATAAGTGTGTGGCCCAATCCTCAGTTGGTGTCAACTGTTAGCTGTTTTGAGGCCAATGGCCACCTGAGGACCTAGTTCACAGCCTCCTTGAGGCTTGCACCCTTCTACAAGATAACCATGCACTCTACAGTACTGGAGACAAATCATTTGATTTCCCAGCAATACATATAATTTCAGAGGAAAAAATATATATGGGTCTCTGTAGGAAATAATGCAGCAAAGACCCATGTCATTCACCACATCTCCAGCTCAGTATTAAATAGCTTTATTATTTCATCCCCAAAACACAAGCTTTTCTATTATGATAATATGCTTACAGCTTTGTTTCTGTTTGCAGGCAGGAGATACCTGTTTGCACGTTGCTGCTCGTTATAATCACTTGCCCATCATTAGGGTACTCCTCAGTGCTTTCTGTTCTGTCCATGAAAAGAACCAGGTCAGTGCATGAATCTCACCACAGTTATACACCCTTTTTATAAGGCTAATAATTGGAACAAAGAACCTTGACTTGGTTGGGCGTGTTGGAGTAGTCTCTAATTAATACACATCTTACAGTGATATTAAGAAGCCTGGGCTTCCAAAAATAGCCTTAAAGGAATGGTGTGCCTGTGACATATTATCATTTCAGGGCATGTCATTGCATTTACATTTCTTATTTATAACATTTCATAGTTATTATATTTTATGCAAATAAGGTTTTTGTTTAAGAAATGGGAAATAGAGGTTGGAGCAGGGATTAGGAGTCGGGACCTCTGGGCTTTAGTCCCCCATTCCGCTGCTAATTTAGTATATGGTGACACTGGGCAAGGTACTTTACCTCATTACGTATCACTTTGCTCACCCATAGAAGAGGGTTAATGCCATTACCTCCTTTGCAGAGGTATGGAAACAGAGCTCATTTTGAAGGTGCTTAATGTACTGTATCCATGAAGAGTTTTTATTAACATTTGTGTTTTATTTTTTTGTCCTTGTGCTTGTGGGAAGCAAAAACTGAAGGGAAAACTTGTTTTAAGTACAAAGTAATGATCAGTCTAAACTAGGATTAACCATCCAGATTTGTTTTAGAATGCAAACAAGCAACTGAATGCTGTCCCTACAGCACTGATAGGGTGGTATAACAGAATGGATTAGCATGTTAAAATGGACTAAAGCTGCTAAGAAAAGCAAAATTATATGGTACTTTACCAAATCAACTCATGTTACTAAATAACTTTCTGTATAGGGTACAGGATCCCATGGATGTTTTCTAATTTGTATATTTAATCTTGTTTTCCAGATAGGGAGTATTCCAGATAGGGAGTATTACAACTAATGGAATAGGTTTAAACCAAATGAAGTTCACTATATAATTTCATTTTAGGAAACGAATCAAGTTGCTTATAAAAATGAGCTACTGAATGCTATTACCTAGAATAAGGATAGTGTAAACTGAAACTGTTTCCTCTTTACCCTGAAGTATTATCCACGAGGGCCAAACATGCTTCTCTCTTAAACTGATGCTGGCAAGTGTTAGCTGAGACTGAGCATGGTCAAAGTTATTTTCACTTGCACTTCAGGTTCCTGGCCAGAGATGAAGGGCAGTGGTGCAGTGCTTTGATCTTACATTGCATAGCTTCTTATGTAGCTGTGTTCCCAGAATCATGTTTTCTTTAAGGAACATCACTGTACCAAGATCAAGCAGTGTTTTGCTGCTATATGATTATTTTCCAGGACATATCTTATACAGAAGTGGCTCATTTGTTTGTGACCATCAAAGTTCAAACCACCAAATCTACACAACTGGAAAAGAAATAGGGATATGCTGCAAGGCCCAGTTCTGCCCTCTAAGACATTCTAGGTCCTGCAACTGGAGGCAGAATTGATCCATTTGCTTTCTCATTTCCAAAACAATGTTCCTTGGTGCACAGTCACACAGATCACTTATTTTATCTGAAACATATATAACCACAGCTCTAACTACCTTCTCAAAGCAGTGTGAGTTAGTCTATCCTTTAAAGCTTACCTATTTTTGACCAACCCTAATTAGATCTTAGCAATCTTGTAACTAAATGTAGACATAATAAATGGGCATAAGAAACTGAAAATACAGTATGATAGAAAACAGAGATATCTATTAGCATTTTGTATGTTGCTTTGTACATTTCAGGCTGGAGATACTGCACTACATGTAGCTGCTGCACTAAATCATAAAAAGGTGGTTAAACTCTTACTGGAAGCAGGAGCTGATGCATCCATTGTCAACAGTGTAAGTAGAATGTAGAATCCCTTTGGGCTCTTATCTTCACGTTTCAGAGAGAACTTCCTGCAGATTGTGTAAGTCTCAGCTGACAATATGTGGATGTTAGTTCCTGAATAAATCAAGGTGCTTGATTATATGACACGTGCACACAGACTGTTTAACAACTTAATTTTAGATGTTTCATGATTTATTAGCTTGATGCTGACTGAAAGAAATAATTTATTTCTTGTCCTTTCAGGCAGGTCAGACACCTCTAGAGGTTGCCAGACAGCACAATAATGCAGAGGTTGCTCTTCTCCTCACTAAAGCATCTCAGGTACATTTTAACTGTCTTTTTCTTTCTCTTTTTGAGCAATAACCCCAAGGTATCAGCTGACAGGAACATTCTGGGATATCTTCTGGGCCACATGCCTGGAACTGAAGCCGGGTTCTAGGCAATGGGCTCAATCTGCCTAAATC